CTCTTAGACGATATTGTAAAAGGAAAGAATGATGCTAGATTAAATTTGAAATCAATTGCTAATAAGCACAGGAAAGAGAAAAAAGTAGAATCAGAGAAGGTAAGGGGAAGCAAGGAAAGTGAAGTTAAAAAAGAAGAGGAATTAAGTTTTATTGGGAGTGGCAAAAAATCTGAACAAGTTCAACCAAAACAAGAACAAATTAAAAATACCAAAAAATTAGACGGTCCAGTGGAAAATTTTAATAGTTTACATGTCGATAGTGTTATAAACGACAATTTAGAAAACTATTTAGATTTGTACAAAGTAGCGGAAAATCGCATGTCTATTCAAGTAAATAAAAGAAAGTTTCTAGAAAACTACACTTTTTTAAAGGAAGAGGAAAAATGAAACTTTTTTGAAAAGACTCTAACAAATATAATGATTTCTTTTTTGTTTTTAAGATCAGGCAGTAATTACCTTTGAAAAGACAGCGACATTACCAGTGAGTTTTTAGAAAGTATAAATAAGTTTTTTAGAAACTCGAATAAAAAAGAAGAAAAATAATTAAAAAAGGCAAAATTTCATGAATAATCAAAATAATAAAGAAGTACAGATTTTATTATCTGAATTAAAAAAAAAGGCTAATGACCAGAAGAGATTCCTAGTAATAGGAAAAATACAAAGTGGAAAAACAAAATTCTTTACCCAATTAATTTTCCAAGCAATTAGAGAGGCAAATTTTGATTTTGTCATCTTGCTTTCCGGAGTAACAAAAGCATTAAATAAACAAACTATAGGGGGTTTTTCTAAATTGTCATTTTTTTGAGGGAGGGAGAGGAAGGTGTTGATGCGGGTGAGGGAGGAGGAGTAGTCAGAATAATTCCACAAATATCCAAACTGCCAGACACAATTATTAAGTGCCAGTCAGACGCTAAGCAAATTAGCACCGATAAAATTCCGATCCAGAATTAGTAAACAAAAAGGAAAAATATTAATCAATAAATTTCAAGGAAAAATTTTGCTGACTAGCAACTTTCTCTTAAAGAACATT